TATCAACAGAAACCTATGACTTGTGAGGCACGTGAAAATGAATTTCTTTTGAGACCCCGTTCTGCTACCAATGTACCGAACCATTTAATGTTGGATAGTAGTGACTTGGCTATAAAACTGAAGAATCAGGTGAATGGTATATCAGATGTGCGTACTGAAGTGCAAATAATTAAAGATAAACTAAGTGAAATTAGTCAAAAATTGGATAAATTTACAGATAGTTCCAATAAGAAGATAACTTTTGCCACGGAGGAATTGTGTCGCATCAAAATGCAATTAGAACAAAAATCACATTATACGCATTGAACACATAACTTATTTTCGTTAAAAACTATTTAATCGAACTTAAAAAAAAATAACTTACTGTTAACTAACTTAAGTTTAAGTGACTGATATTATGAAACTTGTAGATTGTATATATTTAAGACAAAAAAAATTATACCGAAATGCATTGTGTACTTACACAATACATGTTGGATACATGTTATTTCATTATCGATAACAGATAACAGATAAGGAACTTCTACACGATTCCAATTTCCCGATCACGCGGATTTAACAACGGATTGTAGTTCCTAGCTACATTATGTTAAGCTACTATTTCCACTATGCTATATTGACCTAGATTATTAATATTTTATCAAAGAACAAGTATTAAGTTGGATGGGTGATTTCTGTAAAACTTTTTCTATATAAGCTATATGCTATATGTCAATATAATATAGTTTTGAAGATATTGGACTTTGAAGTTGAATATTTTTACATGATTACAAACAACATAAAACCGCCAGATTGTACATCTACCATCTAGAGTCATCTTTTAGTAGCTAACCTTACTAAAATCCGTTTTCAAATCGACATGCCCGGGAATTTGGTTTCACACCAAAAGATTCTTTGTGCCTTATTTTTACTAACACTAAAATTAATACTAAAATTAAAAGTATTAGAATCAATTATGTTAATATAAATTCTAAGACATTTTTAGTTCCTTATAACTAAACTATATTAAAATAATGTATTTGAAATTTGAAAATTATTTATTAAATTTTAACATTTTATTATAAATTTTTGAAATATTTTAAATTTAATTTTTAATCGCTAATAATCGAATAATTGCTGTAAGGTTCTTATTCTTTACAATTCAAACCGACTACTACCAGATGAATTCTAAAGTAAACAGAATTTTTTAATAAGCAGTAACAAGTTTAACTCTATTAAAAACATTATAGATCACTTCTGATTCAATACATTGATTTGCTCGACCTTAGAAATATGTCCAATAAGTGTTTTAGATTGTATGTCTGGGTGGTCTTCAAGATGTCGATATAAGCCTTTTCACTTTCTTTTCGTCGGCAAATACATTTTCTGGAGAAGATAAAAGTCGCACGATGTAAAATCAACTCAATATGGAGCTACCAATAGATGGCCTCGATACAAATACTTCTTATTTCATAAAAAGTAATATTTGAAAAAATTAGTGATTTAAATCAATGGGCAGGGATGACCTGTAGGTATTCACTCCCTCTATTGTAATAATAGATTGTTCAATTTGGAGTGTAAGTAGCCATGGCCATTAAATATCCACTAGACCTCACTCAGATCTGCTAAAGAGATATCTTATTAAACAATATGAGAACCATTCTTAGCTGAGCGGTTATAAGAGTCGGCTAGAAGGGACTTCTCTGGTTGAAATCCATTATTATTAGAGACAAAAAAAAAAAAAAAAACAAAAAAAACAAAAAAAAAAAAAAAAAAAAAAAAAAAAAAAAAAAAAGAAAAAAAAAAATTTCGTGTATCCAAATGAACAATATAAAAGACGTAATAAATAAATCGAAAGGATACACAAAGTTAAAACATTGCGAAAACTGCGGAAGCAGTACACACAACACCAAACAGTGCCATAATAAAAAATAAAAAAAAAAAAAAAAAAAAAAAAAAAAAAAAAAAAAAAAAAAAAAAAAAAAAAAAAAAAAAAAAAAA